ACATTTTATTTTAATTTGTAAATAAATTATTTAAAAAAATTATATATGTGTGTGTATATCAACAATAAACCATCTCACACATCTCACATTATATCTAAAAAAAAAAATCAAATAATATTAGGCATAAACAAATTAAAGATCCTTAAGTTTTTTAAGCATTGTGACATTTCTTTTCAGGACTATTATTAACATTTTACAATATAGTTGTAAATACAGTCTCATTCACTTTACTGTAACATGAAAAAAATACGAAGGCACTTATAACTTGATTTATTTTAAGTATCCTTCACGTCCTTTTCACTCTATTTTACCTTTGCTTTCACAAAATCTGGCATTTTATACTATGAATATGGTTAACTGACCAACTCAATATAATGTTCCACATTTGTAACTTACTAAATTAATAAATACATCTATATTATATCTATAATAATTTTAAATGTATTTTTAATAATGTATTACAGTAAAATGTTTTGGAATATTTAAGTGCATTCACTCCTTCAGCCATTGTATTAGAAACACACAAAATACACAACACAAAGTATAGTGTTAGAATAAGCATTACATTTTAAAGAAATGAACATAAAAACAATTTGCTAGATTTATGATGCTAATAACTGTGGACACTCATGTTTGGAATGATGCATTTCAGCGCTGATTAATTTATTAATCTGTCATCATACCGTATGTGATGCAAGTTTACATAGAGTTTGTAATTACAGTTTTTCTCAATCGATTTAACACATTTCTCCAAACTCAGGTCGCTGTTCTCAAAACAGTTAACACAGTGAAGTTCTGAACGCTTTGTAATTGTCCTAAACAGACTGTACGTTTTCATTCATTTCATACAAATTACAAATCATGCAAATAATTTTCTCAAAACCATGTGCACAAAACTCTCAAATGTTTTCACAATAGATACAGTTTTTCTTGATAGCTAACACACAATTCACCATTTGCTCACACAATCTCAAAACTACACACCAACTTGTGCAAACTTCAGACTTCCAGGTCAAAATCAAATAGTTTAGTCAAAAACACGTTCTCTTTTGTCAGACTCAAACGTTGGCCTCAGATGACACACAAACCTGTCAAATACAGACTACTTCACTGTCTAGAGAACACTAGTGAGATCAATTCAAAACACTGTTACAAAAACCTCCTTATGGAAAATTGGAATCCTTTTGCTAGTCCATGTCTGTTACAGTATTCGACATAAATAGAGGAGTGCAGATACAGTAAAATTCAGCATTAAACTGTAAGAAACGTTTACTGTCATTACACTACTGTAAAGAGATCTTACAGTAAATGAAAAGCACTACAAGAGAAAAGTTCAAAGAGCAAACAACTGAATATACAGTAAGCACACATTGGAATATACTGTCAGTTAATTCACAGAAATAAATAAATAAATAATGAATGAATTAATAAACCGTTCATTCATTCATTATTCGACCGTTTAAGCAAACTATCAAACTTAAACGTGCAAACTATCAAAACCTACACGGACCCTGAGCCTCATTTGCAAACTATAACTGTAATTATTCGTCACTGTAATTAACTCTCACTGGAAGGTCAAGAAGTTCAGCAGTGCTGCATTATTGCTATTGGATTGTGCTCACACTCGTAAACGCACTCATTAGTGTGCGAGTGATTCACGTGTGACCTTTGTGCTGCTCATGACCTCATGTTTCATGTTTTCGTTTAAGAAGTCCCCGAGTCTCGACAGGTGACTGATGAAGATGATGTTTGATGAGACTCTTGTCGTCTGCAGGTTTCTGGACTCCATCATCGTTTCTGCTGCTTCGCTGCACTGATGCAGAAATCATGGACCAACGTTTGGACACAAAAGACCTTTTATCTCGGAGAATTCCTGCAGCGGGAGTTTTTTTTAATAGAGATTTCACAGGTCACTGCTAATATGATGGCCGCTGGACCGTAATCCCGACCGGTTCTGAGGTCAGTGAGTCAAATGCAAGAGGTTTTAATGCAGCGCTTCGATTTGATGCACTTTGCTTCGGAGAGAATGTGAGAGAGAGAATATATATTTATATGTTCTATACATTCTGATTTATTTATTAAGGACACATTAAATTGATCAAAAGTGACAGTAAAGACATTTAAAGTTACAAAAGATTTCTATTTCAAATAAATGCACTTTTGATAAATGTTATGTGCTGACTGTATTATACACTTGTATACACAAAGTATACACTTGATTAAAATATGGCTAGCTGTGAAACCAATATTCAATTAGTTAAAATGCATGAGATAAATAGCTTTTGTGTATGTAAAGCACATTGAGTTTATTAGTACTATTACAGAAATCTGAGCTGTTTCATTCATGTGTGACTGTCACCAATGCTTCACATTAAGTTTATTAGTTTATGTTAAAACGGTGTAATCCAAATGCATGGAAATATTATATGCAATTCAAATACATAAATCTTAAATTGAGGTCCAAATATTTTTAGTGCATAAAGTAAACAGTAAAACAATACAGTAACAGTAAGTGCAAAATTCATTCTGCAATGCATGCTGGGAGTTCACAAGCCCTACACCTCCACAGCATTGCTCAGCACTGAAGTGCTTGTTTGGGGCATTCTGCTGCTCTAACCAGTGCTTTTATGTCACATTTCTTAGTATTTGTGACTCAAAAGGCCCGTATGCTGGATAAAATGTAATTGCTTTTTTGACAGTGCAAAACACACGATAGACGTCTCGAGGAGGTTTTCATGCGCTGCTGAATTAATCGCCTCAGACAGATAAAGTTCTCCAGAGCTTCAAAGCCTGAATGACTCAACAGCTCTGACCCGAAATCACCTGCCACTTCATACAGGCTGGCAGTTCAACTTTAAACAAACAGAAGAAAAACAGCTCATTTAGTTTGCAGTTGAAGCATAATTATTTTGCATACCATTTAATTCAGTCATCAAACAAACCATAAACAGCAAGACAACAGAACCAGAGCAAACCCTTCAACAAGAAACATTTTACTTCTGTAATGATTTTACCCAACAGGAATTGACTGAAGCGACTTGTGTGTGTTTGCTAAATCAATACCTAAATAGCTTTTTGACTATTGATTAACATCATCCAACAGCACCACGTCATCAGATTTGGAGAAATGTGTCATTGTATCACTGTCTCAGCAATGGATGCTCTGCAGTGAATGGGTGCCGTCAGAATGAGAGTCCAAACAGCTGATAAAAACATCACAATAATCCACAAGTACTCCACTGGAAGCAACACTGCAAGGATTTGTTTCAGCTTTTCTGAAGATTCAGCTTCTCCAGATGTTAACTGATGGACTGGAGTAGTGTGGATTATTGTGATGTTTTTATCAGCTGTTTGGACTCTCATTCTGACGGCACCCATTCACTGCAGAGCATCCATTGCTGAGACACTGATGCAATGCTACATTTCTCCAAATCTTTCAGTTTTGGATGAACTATTCCTTTAATATTGTGAACGTCATTATTCTGTTCAATTCATTTCACGTTTTGTTCTCATCTGATAGTGTCAGTGCAGTGAAACTGATTAATATTACTGGAAAGTCAAACCCTTTAAAAATACTAATATTTTACTCGGGGCTGCTGAGACCCTTGTGAATGGCATCAGGAAAATATAACGTAAATACAAATATGTAGTCATCCAGAAATTCTCATTCCTCTGTTATGATAGACCTTGTGTGCATGATGGATTTTTCTAGACTGAATTAATTCTCCATAGTTGATCATTTCAGACATGAAATTAACAAAGACAAATGACTTTATTTTGGCACCCAGGATGAACAAATCTTTCTAAAAAGCTCATCTTGCTCTCATGCATGATGACTGAGAGCGTGTTTATCACTGAAATCTCAGTGAAAGCATGTGAAAGCTGTAATGCATGTTTAATCTGAGGTGGGTTTGTGATTGTGATGGTATTAGTGTGTTTCAGCACATCTTCTGTCCTCTGTTCGGAGGTGTGGCTGCTGAAGGAGGTGAAGGTTTCTCTCAGGGTTTAGTGGAGGTTAAGGTCAGTGTTAGGGTCATTCTGCTGATCTCTCTACTCAGAGTCAGTGGGACTTTAAAGCTTTAAACCTTGGAAAAAACAAATTTGTATGCATGCATATGGAAAAGTGTTTTTCTTGTGCTGGTATTAAATAAAGGAATAATTCACTCAAAAATGAAAACAAACCGTAGCACTTTACAACAAAGTCTCATTTGTTATCATTAGTTAATGCATTAAATACCATGAACTTGCAATGAGCAATATATTTCCATGGCATTTTTAACCTTTGTTAATAAAATGTAAACAAACAAATAAACGCAATTATTTAATAAGAATAATAATAAACAAATAAAGAAAGAAAATGTATTTACAGCTATATGGTATTATATGAATATTAAATAAATGTAATATATTATATGAATTTAAAAGACTAACAGATAACAAATGAGACCTTATTGTAAAGTGTTCCCAAACAAAAGAAACAAATAAGAAATATATATTTTTAATAATAAAAATACAATTATTTAATAATAATAAGATTTAATAATAAATAAATTATATTAAATAAAATATATTAAACAAATAAATAAATACAATTTCCGTCTTATCTTAACTCACCGCTATTACATGTACATTTAAAGACTAACAAATGTTAACAAATGAGACCTTATTGTAAAGTGTAAACAAAAAAACAAACAAATAAATAAAATGTTTTTAATAATAAATAAATGCAATCTGTCTTATCTTAACCCACGGGCTGTTACCTGACAGAAATGTGATTTTTCTCTGAACTATTCCTCTCATCTTTAATCATGTCTAGCAGGTTCCAGTGACTTTAAACAGTGCAAACCTACATTCTTGTTCCTCTTGAATGTGGCCTTGGAGGCAAAGCCGAACTGAATCCTATCTTGTAAATGGAGCCGTTATCTTCGTCTCTGTCCTTCAGCGGCTCTATAAAACTGTCCCGTGGCCTCCTCTTCCTCGCCATCTCAGCGGGAGCCAACATGCTGCGGGCCGTCCTGAAACTCTGCTGTGGAATCACATACCCACATCTACGGAGCATGGCAGGTGCCTGACTGTAGCTTCAGCTCGATGCACGAGCTTGTGTTTGTATTGTGTTTTATTTATGGTGTCTTTTCCATCCTGCAGGTCTGCAGCGAGCAGCTCTGGCGGCGTTCGGCCAGGAGATCGCACACTTGCAGAGCAGAGGACAAATGGCCCTTCCAGCATGGAGCCCTTTGAGATGGACTGAAAGTGAGTCTGTGCATTCATATTTAACTTCACTTTCCATCCGATACTCCAGCAGAGCTGCAGTTCAGTTCAAAAGTTTGGAGTCAGTAAGATTTTTTTAAATGGTGAGCATAAAAAGTCTCTCCTGCTCACCGAGGCTGCATTTATTTGATCAAAAATACAGTAAAAATTGTGAAATAGTATTATAATTTAAAATATCTGTTTTCTATGTGAATATCTGTTGAAATGTAATTTATTTCTGTGATGCGCAGCTGTATTTTCAGCATCATTACTCCAGTCTTCAGTGTCACATGATCTTCAGAAATCATTCTAATATGCTGATTTGCTGCTCAAGAAACATTTCTGATTATTATCAATGTTGAAAACAGTTGTGCTGCACAATATTTTTGTGGACACTGTGATACATTTGATTTTTCAGGATTCACAGATGAACAGAAAGTTCAAAAGATCAGCATTTATTTGAAATGGAAGTTTTTTGGAACATTATAAATGTCTTAACTGACACTTTTGATTAATTGAATGTGTCCTTTATGAATAAAAGATTAAGTTCTTTCAAATACAAGAAAGTAAGAAAAATAAACACTGAAAATGATCCAAAAAGCATCTTCAGATTTAATGATCTGACTGTCACATGATTAATGACACTCATTTACTTACATTTGATCACTCACATAGAAACACTGCAGAATCTGAAATATTTATACTTAATTTGATATATTATTATTATTTTGAATTTTCTAAATCCTATAACCTATATATGAATGTCTTCAGAGACAGAGGCGGTGGAGCAGAGGACGGCTGCATTGGCCGATGAGGACGTGTTTTATCTGAAACAAGGAGAAGCAGCGCTGAATGAAGCTCTGAAGATCGTGGAGTCTGAGGACGGATGGAAACTGGAGACGGCCGAGGTATTCGTCTGTGAATGTAAAATGTTCTCTAGGTGTGCAGATCGCCAGAATGTGTTCTCATAGAAAATGATGAACGTCTTTTTCCTTCAGAAGAATGGAGATGTGATCTATAGCAAAGTTCTCACCGGCAACAGGAAGGTTTTCCGATTAGAGGCCGAACTGAACGCGTCTCCAGAGGAACTTCACAAAATCTTGTTCTTCAGAGTGGAGGAGATGCACGAATGGAACCCCAGCATCAGACACATCAAAGTAAGACATACTTATTTGGTATTACTTTTTTTTTATTATATTTTCTATTTTATTCATCAAGGATGCATTAAATTGATCAAAAGTGTCATGTGAATGTAATGCAAGTTTCTTTGGATGAAAGCATCTGCCGGGTCAGAAAGATTATTATTATTTTTTTAAATACATCATAAAAGTAATACATTTATTAAGGACACATTATATTAATAAAAAAGTGACAGTAAATGCATTTATAATGTTACAAAAGATTCTATTTCAAGTAAATGCTGTTATTTTGAACTTTCTATTCATCTGTGAATCCTGAAAAATTAAATATATCACGGTTTTCACAAAAATATTGTGCAGCACAACTGTTTTCAACATTGATAATAATCAGAAATGTTTCTCGAGCAGCAAATCAGCATATTAGAATGATTTCTGAAGATCATGTGACACCGAAGACAGGAGTAATGATGCTGAAAATACAGCGCTGTAATTACTAGATGACTATCTGGACGTTCTGCTCGGAGACGTTCACTTCCTCAGACTCAGAGTTATGCGTTTCTGTGGCAACACTATTAATGGCAAAATTAATCTGTGTTATTTTTGTAATCAATAGACACAACCACAATACAGCAAGTATACAAATACCGTATTAATTAACTTTAAGTGTAATTAGCGGGACATTAGGTATGTTTCTAAATGGATGCAAATTAGGACAACTGTTTGCATCTTTTTTGAGTTATGACCCACTTTTGATGAAATTATGATTACTACATTGAGTTAGAGAAACTATTTTGTAGCATAAACACATTTTTTAAGTTGATTAGCCCAAAAAATTCAGTTGCTCTAATTGAGTTGTGGCCCTCGAACCAATTTTTTTCAGTTAAAATCAACAGCTAGCTTAACACATGCTAAATGTAACTTCTTTAGCATGTGAATTGAATGAAGAAGTAAGATATTGCTAATCACTGGCATTAGCGCATCATTGCTCACAGAGTCATTACAATGTTTACCTTCATGTAGCTTTAGCACGAGAGAAACTCGAACATATAACAGCATTAAACATGATCTCTCCCTTCACCAAAAACACATAACATAACACTTATTTTTAACAGTTTTCTCCTTGTTCAGTTCTATGCAAAGCATGCTGGGAACTAGAAATCTACTGTTAACAAGACTATTTTATCAAGTTACTACAACTTAATTTTTTTTAACTTAACACATAATGCACAATAAACACATTATGTCACCAGAACTCATTAAAATAATGTTGGCAACTAAAAAGGTTTTATTAAATCAATGAACTTGAATTTATAACTGCATGTGCATTTATTTACAGTTTTTTATGATCACTATAGGACACATTTCTCAATACTTAGGTCACTTTTTCCAAAACTCTTCACACAGCGAGCACAACATCAGTCTATGTGGGCTAAACTGTGAATCATTTATCATTGCTTTGGCACATCTGTCAAATTACATGAATTCTTTTATCACTCTGACGCAAACACCAAAACTTTATGTACTATGTACTATGTTTTCAAAACTGATAAAGTTCAAAACCTATCACAGTGCAAAAATAAGACAGAAATTTGCTTCATTTCTACAGTAATAGAAAAATATTCTGAACGTAAAAAATCAAATAGGCTACTATCAAAGCAGTTGCATGTAGCTGAACATCTTCACAAGTGTTAGTCTTTTCCTTTCATTACCATCTATACAAAAGAGGAAAACTTAGGAATAATGTTGTACTGTAATGCCAACAATGTAACATATTAATTATAAACAGTAGAGAGTGTCATTCTTGTTTTGTAAAGACATTTTACAAAAGAAAACATTGTATAATGCTACCTGTTGTTAGTGTTTTTTAGGCTGTTGTGTTATGAGTGATATAAAGTGTTTTTTGGGTGAAAACCTTTGCTATAGTGTTATGTTAGAATGACTTGATTTGAGGCATTAATGAAGTGCTTTGGTAGTTTTAGTGCATTTTGAATGTGAAATGAACTGCTGTGTCAAGTTGAAAGATGGTTAGGAGAACTGTGTGTAGAGAGTTTTGAAAAAGCGATTTTAGTATTGAGAAATGTGTCCTAGCAATTGTAAAAAACAAAAACTGTAAGTTAGTGTAACAGGCAACAGCACTGAATTATTATTATTATTTTTAAATGTACTGAAGTGTAAAACGTTTTACAGGTTGATAAGAAAATAAAAAGAATGCATTTTCATCGTAATTTTCTGTAATTCTGACAGATGAAGTGGAGTTGTCTTTCGAAATTCTAGATGATGCATTAGTTGCAATGTTGAAAGGGGCGTGTCCATGTGAAATTCTAAGAAAAACGTCAATTTCACAATTTTATGATTTTGTTTTGTTTAGACTGTTATGTTTCCGTGAAGTAACGAAAGTCCGACTCAGCCGTAAACAAACTCCTTTATGCCGCAGGTGCTAAAACATGTGGGCAGGAACACCATGGTTACACACGAGGTTTCGTCGGAAACGACGGGAAACCTGATTGGCCAGCGGGACTTCCTGAGCGTCAGACATTCGTCCAAGCGCGAGTCACGTGTTTATTTGGGCGGAGCCGCGACGCGGTTGGAGTCTCTGCCGCCTCAGCCGGGGTTTGTCAGGTAAACACAGCGCATGCAGGATTGAAGTGTTCAAAAAGGAGGGACTTTGTAGAAAACGAAGCGTTTGAGAGAGGCGGGGCATAGAGGACCTACAATAATGTACAGCATTTGAAAAATAATGTGTTTTTTGAACATTAAACCATGTCAACATATTCTGTTATACCAAATACACAAAATAATGATCTTTAAAATAGCATCATATGACCCCTTTAAAGTGTGTCGCCATGCGTTTAGCCAACCGTTATGAACGATTCTAAATCTTGCTTTTAAAATAGCTCATTTATTCACCCTCATGTTGGTCCAATCACACGTGACTTAACTTTCTTCTGTGAAAAGCAAAATAATGTGTTTGGCAAAATAATGCATGAGCTTGTTTTCCTCCAAACCGATCGCAACACCACTTCTTTGAGATTTTTTTTTTAAAGTGAACATCGATTAATATTTGGCTGTTTGTCGCACAAAGCTGTTTTATGAATTCAGAAGACTTTGCATACTAGCGCACGAGCCGTATGCACGACTGTTATTGCGCTTTTTTCATGTTTTTGTAGCACAACAGTATAAATCACCATCCATTATTGTTTTTATAAAAACATTCAATTCTATTTCAATTTCAATTTATTTACAAAGCACAACTAAACACAACCACCGTTGACCAATGTGCTGTACACAATAAATAACCATTAACAGAAATAAAACAAAGACAAGGTTACAAATAAAACTGCCAAAAATATATATATATTTAAGCTGAATTAATAAGGGTTTGGATGGATGAGCGTGAATAACTGATGAGAGTTTAACTTTTTTTTTCCTGTGAATTATTTCATATACATTTTGATTAGAAGTTACTAAACCGGACATAATCTGAAAGTGTTTTCTGATGGTAAAGACATTCTGTAAGTGTGTGTTTGGTGTTTGTTGTGTTCAGAGCTGAAGATGGACCCACCTGCATCATCCTGCAGCCGCTTCAGGACCGTCCCGAACGCAGTCGCTTCATCTGGCTGCTCAACATGGACGTCAAGGTACAAAACATGCACATTTGTTTTTTTTTACTAGTGCTGTCAAACGATTAATCACATCCAAAATACAAGTTTATGTTTACATAATATATGTGTGTGCACTGTGTGTTTATTATGTATATAAAAATGCACACATATGCATGTATATATATAAAAAAAAAAAATATTGCATGTGTATATTTATATTTATATATAATTTATATTACATATAAATTTAACATATTTTCTTAAATATATGCATGGATGTGTGTGCATTAATATATACATAATAAACATACACAGTACACACACATATATTATGTAAACACAAACTTGTATTTTGGATGCGATTAATCGTTTGACAGCACTAGATATTACTGACCAGCAGATGATACATGCTGTAAAAATTATTGTCAAAGTTGAAAATAAAACATTTTACTAGACTTTCAGTCTACTTCAAAATTTCGGTGTTACTCTTTGATATTACTTGTGAAATTTACTACTGATTTTTGAGTGAAAAATGTTTGTACACCTCATGTTTCCAGTGTAGAAGATTCCCTGATGTATTTATGCAGTCGTGTGTTGAACGTGTCCTTGTGTGTTAAGGGTTGGCTCCCGCAGTCACTAGTGAACAAGGCTCTTCCTCGAGCACAGGCGGACTTCACTAAACACCTGCGGCGCCGGCTGGCCGCTCAAAACTCAGAAAACAGCAGATGCTAAGAGTCAGACATCAACACTGACGACGATATAGGAACACAGACATGCAACATACACCTCAGACGAACTGTATCAAACTCGTGTTATTAGAGTAGAACTACGATGAAATTGATCTGACAATATAAAATGACAATAAAAAATATTTTTCACTGGAGTGTTATTTCAATATCATTTTAAGTAGATTTTTAAAATTTTTATATTTGAAGTTTTTTAATTTTATATTTCTGTTTTCATTTTAGTTAAAACTATTAATGTAATGTTACTATCTTCTGAGTTTAAATCTTGCAGTTCTATTTTTGTATCTTTTGCGGCTTACCTCACAATTTCCCTTAAAACAACAACAACAACAACTGGAAGTTATTAAAGTAGATAAACAACTGCTCATGAAATTGATTTGACCACATAAACAACAATAAAAAAATGTGTTTTTCACAGCGTTAATTTAGTATCATTTTATTAATATTGTAAAATTAGGTTTCATTTTTCACATTTTATTTTATTTTTTATATTTCTCTTTTAGTATTTTTTTATTTAAAAATTTTTTTTTTATAAATGTCTATTTAGTTTATTTTTTTATTTCATTTTTAGTTAATTTAGTACATCAAGTCAATCTAAATGAAAACGAGAAATGCCGCCTTGGCGAACAGCTGAAAGAAGTTTATTTCAAGTAACATTTTTTTGTTTTAGTTTTAGTTAACTATGATAACCCTGATTCTGTATTTTGTGTCTGATTTTGTGCTTCATATACTTAAACCAAAAATGAAAGTTTAAATGAGCTGCAGTGATGGAAACAAGACAAACGGCAGCATACAGGTTTGGGTGAATAATGGCCGAATGAATTTTTTTAAATTAAATATTTTATTAAAAATAAAATAATTAAAAATTAAGTAATCATTTTGACTTTCTCTAATAAATATGTGCAACTAACTCAAATCGCATGAAAGTTTAAAATGTTCAAAATTATTAAAACTGCAGATTCATAGTGGCGGCACAGAAAAAGTTTAACATTTTCATTGATATTTGCGTTATGGTTATAAATGATTAATTGAATTCATGAGTTGGTCTCTGAGCTCTGCTGCTGGCTGATATTACAGATGCACTTTTAAACATTAAAAATCAATGCAAACAAATCTATACTGAACAGCTATGAAACAACTCTGTTTCTGCAGAGATGAATGGAGATTGATTAGTTTCACATCCGTCTGCATTTTGACTTCAATGCTTTTACAATCTATCTTCCTTCCAGATGTCATAATCAATCAAAACCAGTTCAGATCTGCTGGTGCAATAAAACCCAGACTTACTAGTACACACTTAGATACTCTTATTTTAAAATTGCATCATGAGTTCATTAATATTTGTTTTATTAATGCATTCAAATCGTAATGTCGTAATGCCCTGTAAATAACCAATTTTCAATGGAAACCATAGAATAAAAATATAAATAAAAAGGTGTGACTTTTTAACTCACAACTCTGACTTTTTTTCTCAGAATTGAGTTTATATCTCGCAATTGATTCATATTTATATATAAATAAAAAAATCAGAATTGAGAAAAAAAGTTGCAATTACCTTTTCATTTATCTCATGGCTTTCATTTTAGTCATATTGTTTCCTGATGGGGAATTAGAGAAATAAAAATCTCAGATATTAGTTTCATGTCATGTATAAAAAATATATTCTTACCCTTTACCTTTTAATCCAGTAAAAATATTCTACACTGGTTAAACCTGACGTTTCCCGAGAATCTGTTTTGAATGTGCAAATAAACAAATAATCTGAAATAAAAACTCCACTTTTCTTTTCAATGTGTATATTTTCATGTATTTCATCATCCTACAACTTAAAAATTTAATAAATATTAACACTTAAAGCTCTCATTCATGTATATACAAGTACTATACAATACAGAAATTAGATTAAACCACGTGAGAGACGGCAGACCTGACGCTCTCGCACCTTCTGAAAACCTGCAACTATTTACAGTATATACAAAAGCACCCAGTTTAACAGCAGATCCAAGCTGAAGAACACAGACTGCAGGTGATGGTTAGAGCCGGCTGCTGTTGTTTCACAGGTGCGTGTCGTCACATTGATGAACATCAGGAGCACCAGGAGGCGGCGAGAACCACGAGTACACTAGCTTTGTAACTCTTCAGTAGATCGGTGTAGTTCAGCTTCATAAAAATGAGCAAAAGAATATGAAAATATGACTGAAATACATTAATGGCTATGAACAAAATAGAATACAGGCCAGTGTTGTTGTATTATCATTTACATACTATTACAGTATTTTATATATATTTGAACAAATGTGACCCTGGAGCACAAAAGCAGTGTTAAGTCGCTGGGGTATATTTGTAGCAATAGCCAACAATACATTGTATGGCTCAAAATTATACATTTTTCTTTTATGACAAAAATCATTAGGATATTAAGTAAAGATCATGTTCCATGAAGATATTTTGTAAATGTCCTACTGTAAATATATCAAAACTTAATTTTTGATTAGTAATATGCATTGCTAAGAACTTCATTTGGACAACTTTAAAGATGATTTTCTCAATATTTAGATTTTTTTGCACCCTCAGATTCCAGATTTTCAAATAGTTGTATCTCGGCCGAATATTGTCCTATCATAACAAACCATACATCAATGGAAAGCTTATTTCCATAATAAGCTTATTATTATTGATGTATAAATCTCAATATCGAAAAATTGACCCTTATGACTGGTTTTGTGGTCCAGGGTCACATATTTCAAATTAACTTTTAAAGTTTCATCTATTTTATATATATATATATATTAGCTTTTTTATATTTTAAGTTTTTTTTATTTTAATAATTTTTCGAGTTATTATAGTGTTACTTTTAGTCATTTTAATACTTCAACTTCAAATTATTTCAAATTATTTTTTGCCAATTATGATTAAAGTTCTCCATCTATTACACACACACACACACACATATATATATATATATATATATATATTTTTTTTTTTAATTAATATATGGCCTTCCTATTTTACATTTATTTTTGCAATTGGCATGTGCTGATTATTTGTTTAAAAAAAACAAACTAAAAATTCATAGTAAAAACGTTTTGCATTCTTAATTAATTTTGTGTAAAAATGTCTTAATTTCTGGAAGGCAGGTCAAATAATGAGTTTAACAGAAATTAAAATCCCAATAAAGCTCAAGTTAAGTGCATTGTGGGACACTGTATTAGACACTAAATTAATCACAGGTTTCTGTAATTAATCACATCAAACGGCAAAAGGATTTAAGGAAAGTAGTGTTATGTCAATTATATTGAACGTGTTTTTTTTCTCAGGTCATTGGGGGATTTTAAAAGTGAAACTGGTCGATCACAAAACTACACCAGAGTTACAAAGCAAACACACGCAGCTAGACTTCAAAATAACACAGCTACGATCTACACGAGCGAATAATGACGCACTACAGCCACAAACACGCTGAAGACGTGTCTAGTAGTCCTGAAGACACAAAACAGCACGCATTGAGCCGGAAGCCACTGCATTTCAATAACAGCACCTGTCACGGTTTCTCCCGTTTCCACACACGGAGCAGAGGATTGTGGGTGACGTGGGCTCGTTCTGAGGTAACCAGCAGCTGCTGTGTGATTGGTTAGTGATCATGTGACCGGCGAGTCCCTGGTTTGGCGGGTCGAGGCGAGCGAGTCCTGGATCTGGAGTGCGTCTGGAGGTAGAGATGAGGGACAGGAAGTGCTCTCGTCCGCTTTAGGGCTGGAGGAAGTGAGCCGAGGTCTCCTGCTAGCTGCTTTAGTGGTGTGGACGAGCGGAGCCGCTGTAGATGGAGGTACAGTCGGATCAGGACTCGTTTGAGGCAGAGGAGGGAAGGTGAAATCCGGAAGCCATGACATCTGACTATCTATCTATCTATCTGGCTATCTATCATCTGACTATCTATCTATCTATCTATCTATCTATCTACCTGTTTTCATTCATTTCATTAAAGTATACAGTAATTAATAACATGAATATTATTTTCAATAATAAAATGAATACAATTTAATAATTAATGAAATGAATACAACAATTAAATTTTGTATGTATTTGTTTTAATCTTTGTCTGTTTTTATTTCTAATTTCTGAAAAATATCTAATCCTGAAAAATCAAATGTATCACGGTTTCCACAAAAATATTGTGCAGCACAACTGTTTTCAACATTGATAATAATCAGAAATGTTTCTTGAGCAGCAAATCAGCATATTAGAATGATTTCTGAAGATCATGTGACCCTGAAGACTGGAGTAATGATGCTGAAAATACAGCTGCGCATCACAAAAATAAATTACATTATAAATTATAATAATATTTCACAGTTTTTCACTATATTTTTGAATAAATAAATGCACCCTTAGTGAGAACAAGAGAGGCCGAACACATAAGAGAATCGACACAGAAGCCTGATCAATAATCCATCAGTGTCTCTATTGACGAGTCACTTACTAGAGACTTTATCCAGAGTGTTTTCCGCTGGTTTCTCCTCCTCAGTGGTCAAATTGTCCAGTAAATCTCTAGTGGGACTGGGTAAAGATGGCTCTCCTAGGAGAAAACAACACAAAAGCACATTTCCTGTCAAACAGGAAGTCACTGCAGTGTCAGATAGACTAGTTTGGAAACACATGAATCACGTTTATAAAGCTACTGCTTGAATGACTGAAATGAGTTTGTAAATAAATATAAAATTAGCCACGAATTTCTGCACAAAACAAACATTTTTATTAATTCTGTCAAGCTGTCAAACTCCAAAAGGGGAAAACAAGGTGAAAATTTACAAAATATCTTCATGGAACATGATCTTTACTTAATATCCTAATGATTTTTGGCATAAAAGAAAAATCTATAATTTTGACCCATACAATGTATTGTTGGCTATTGCTACAAATATACCCCAGCGACTCCAGGGACACATTAGTTAAGAAATCATCTTTTTGTGCTGGTGTTTGTTTGACCTGTGCAGGGAGGAAGCTTGCAGACGGACACGGACTCAGGTTTGTCTGCGTCACACTGTCCCGAGCTGCCTTCAGACGGCCTGCAGATGACCTGCCGCTGCTGGATCCCTTCACCGCAGCTCACCGAACACTACAGGAAACACATCACATTCAGACAGGAAACACATCACATTCAGACAGGAAACACGAACAGATCATTGGGATGAGCGCTAGAGGAGATCTGGGAGTCAATTTGTGTTTTACTGTCACATTCTTGATCACATCAAACTCGCAGTGAGCCGATATTACCAATATTACCAATATTACCACTTTAAAAATAACTTTGCATTTAGAACCACAAATTTAGTTATTTACCATTTATTTAACATAATTTCTATTTAATTTAATATTCATAAATGAAACTTTACAATTCCAAATCTTGCAAATTATTTAACTTAAATCAGTAGTGTGCATGTATGTGTATTTAATATTTTAATACTTAAAAATAATAACAATATTAGAAATAGAAAAAAAAAAAAAATTTCTAGAAATCAATACTAACTCACAGGTAAAAATGTCAAACTTACAGGAAATTGTGGACTTACAATGACAAATATTACCACTTAAAAGTTGTAATTTGGAACCATATACTTTGTTATTCAAACTTTATTTAACAATAAAATACTAATTTAACAATAATTAAAAAAATTAATTTAACAATAAAAAAAAAAATTATTGGAATTGGATTTTTAAAAATGTATTACAAAATGATTACATTTAGAAATTAAACTTTTCAATTATAAATCTTAAATGCAAATTATTTATTTAAACCAGTAGTGTATTTGTGTATGTATTTATTTAATATTTGTAGCACCTAAAAAAAATAACAATACCATAAATTAAGCTAAAAATTAAACATTTCTAGAAAATAATACTAAAGTATACTACTAAAATTTAGAAATGAAACCTAAACCAAAAACATACAAACTAAATAACTAAACAGATTTATGATGCACATGCAATTTATAAATACTCATACAAATATAATAAATACACCTTATATATACTAATAGATGTAATTTATTAAATGTATTTTATTGTATTTTCATTATTCCTATTTTTATGGTTCTATTTTAATAATATTTAAATGTATTTACTGAATTAACTTAAATAAGTAACTTATATTTCTGTTATGTGATTATCATCTAAATTATTTGTGTGTGTGTGTGTGTGTGTCTGTGTGTGTGTCTGTGTCTGTGTGTGTGTGTGTGTGATGGCTTGTCATATTAAGCGTTTATCCTCTGGCGTCTTGAGAGGAGTGTCGTTACTGTCAGTGTTTTGACAGGAAATCTTTCATCCGTTTGCTTTAACTAATGAACTTTCATCCACTTTAAACATGATGTCATTTCCCTCACGCTGCAGTTTTGCAATGTCACAAGAAAAAATCGTGGATTTCAAGCGTGAAAACGAAAGACACAAAACTAGTCTAAACTCCATTGTGCTGCAGTTTCCACACCATTAAACTTCACAACCACGTCTGCAGACCCAGATTAAGACGAGCTCCAAAATATACAGCGTTTACAACAGAAACACTCATTCAGTCCAGCACAAAGCTGACAATTTCTTCCAGCTCTGTGAATTTTTCATGAATGAGCTCGTCTGAATAAATTTCATTGTTTGGGATCTCTCTCTCTCTCTCTCTCTCTTTAGATTTAATGTTAGAGCAAGCTTCAGTTCTGTCTCTCTTTATCTGTCCACACACACACACACACTCACACACACGCGCACGCACACACACGCACGCACTCACGCACTCACACACACTCTCACACACACTCACTCACTCACGCACGCACGCACACACTCTCACTCACTCACTCACGCACGCACGCACTCACATTGTAAGGTAATTAACTTACAATGATAGTCAAGTTGATGGATAGCTTCAACCAATGGCTGGTAAGTCTTTATGTATTTTTTTCAGGTCCTTTACAATCAGATCAACCAGGCGATCGTGTCTGGACACATACAGTCCTTTGTAACAACAACATCCATTTAAGATGTGGGCAACTGTTTCATTTTCCTGTTGATTTTGATGTAACAGACGATTTGAACAGGTTGTAAGTTTGACGGATACCATATTGACAGATTGTCCATAGTTGGAAGACATTGTAGTCGTGCTTTAATCATAAAAGTTAGAATACCCTCTGAGATTGAAAAGTTTGTCAAAACAGAGTGGGATACTGAACGGTCGGCTGATTGGAGAAGTGCTAATTTTCCCTGCAGTTTCAAGCCCATCCAGCGCTGGAACCTAACAAACACACTAACCCTAAAAGAAAACTTTCTGCATTTTTGCAACAACAACAACAACAAAAAAAGAAAACAATAAAACTTTCTTTTTATACACTTTTTACAAATAAGGATATTCTCCACATTTTTGGGGATTTTTTTTTATACAAATATGTCCCCAAAATAAAGTTAAGTAGTGAAATTATTTAATGAATATATATATTTAAATATTTTAAGGTTATATTATTTATTTAATATTATTGTTTAATTAATAATATTAATTATTCAAATATTATTATAAAAATCTCAATTTAGATTACACTGCAAAAAGTGATGTTTTGCATAATTTTTCAGCACAAATATCTAAACATTGTTAAGTCAAGATACATTTGCTTGAGATGCAAATCACACAAGTCTTGTTTTCTGAGAAACTGATTAAAATTCAAATATCTGCCAAAGGGGTCAGAAAAATCAGCTTAATTACCAGGGAAAACAAGTTGATTTTCTGACCCGGTTGGCACATATTTGTTCTTGTTCTTAGCATGAACTCAGTTAATAAAAAAAAAAAAAAAGTGATTTGCATCTCAAGTAAATGTACAGTGGTGGACAAAATGATTAGAACACTAGTATTTTCAGCAGCTAAAAAATGGTTTTAAGTCAGTTATTTCTATCTTTTGCTGTA